CATATAAAAAGTATTTTACATAAATTTAATATGCATGACTGTTGTGCCATCAGCTGTGTCAGCAAGTCAGCACTCCGCTTCCTAGTAAACTGAATTTGATTGGTTTAAATTCAGAAGAAAAATATGATAGCCCTTGCCGCAATCTAATCGGCTATTTAATGTATATCATGTTTTGTATACCAAGCCTGATTTAAGTACCGCTGTTAATATTTTGGGCAGGTATCAAAACAAAAATAATAAAGAGCTTTGGCAATTTTTGAAAAGAGTCCTCAGATATCTTAAGGAAAAAATCAATGTGAAGTTGACACAATATTTTAGTTGTAAATATATTATCAATTTCTTGAGTGATTCTATTAATCCTGACTAGGAAGGTGGAGATGATATAAGCAATATAAAAGGTACAACAGGATATTTATTTAAACTGTTTGAAATTTGTGTGATATGTTGGAATACAAAAAGGCAGTTGTCAGTAGCGGCATCATCTACTGAAGCCGAATATATGGCTTACTTTTTAAAGATGTCACAGAGGCTCTTTGGTTAAAATAATGATAGCAGAAAATATAAAGAAAAGGTTTATTATTCTTTGTCTTGATGTTGGGTCAGTTCCTATAGTTAGTTCTATGAGTTCACACGCTCTGTTTTCCACGCTGTGTTCGATAAAATAAATATATTGAGTATCACGAATTAACAAGTTCCTTCATTTTTTAGGCCATTTCCCAATAGCATTAGGGCCTTGTTGAATTTACTAACATTTTCCTACCTTGACGAGAGAATATCCTAGCAAATTGAAATAATCAATCTAGAGATATTGGCTCAAAAACAACTATAGCTGAGTAGCTTCCCGTATGGGACCTCAGTACCTGCTGGGAAACTGGCTAACTAACCAAAAAACTCTTCAGTATTGAATATAGGTAGTGTTGATTGAATATAGTGTGTGTAATTGAAATTTTAGCAAAAGAACAGGGGCGGAACCTAATTTGAACTTTTATTGACTTAAATTATTGAATTATTGACTCACAATCATTATTTGAATGACACAGTATGTTTTGATTTCTGAGGAATGTAGATCGTGGTTTCTCTGCCGTGCTCTTTCCCCTCGTTAGTTCCAGGATGAGAACGGTACGGTTTACTTCAATAATGACGTAGACATTCCACAAATTTTTCGTTTCTTTCACATATCACAACTTCCCTTAAATTTCCCAAATATTTTCTATGTCGGGCGAATGCCCAGTAAGTAAAATTGAGTAAGTTTCCACAACGTAGGTCCTATTTGTTTTTCATTTCGTTTTTCAGAAGATTTGTTGTTTGAAAGGTAATAAAAATGCACACTGTTCAATCTTGCTGAACGAACCCGGGTATGTTATACTACAACTTAAATATTTTTCCGCGTCCTCGACTTGCGCTCGCTGATTATAATAATTTCGGGTGACAACGATCTTACATGACTCGCTATACCTATATATTCTATATATCCTATATTTCTTTATACATTTGTGGTTTAAAATGCTACTGATAATTGTCCTAGAACCCATATACGTTTTGAGAAGATGTCTGAGTTCAATTGAGCCCAGGAATATGCCCTATCGTTCCAGATAAATCAATTTAGAATATACAGGGTGTTTGGTACATCGATAGGAAGTTTTCAATGAGTGATAGGTGGGGCCAGTTGGAAGCTGTTCGACCATATTTACCCTCATCCAAAGTTTCGTCGTTTTTGAGATATCGCCATTTTTAGATATTTTGAATCCATCTATTTTAACACATAACTTGGGTCACATATTTTGTGTATCAATCATTCGGTTTTTTTTTTCCGTATTGTTTTGGAAGAGTGTATATTAGGAATGTCAGAAAAAAAAATTGTTTGTTATTACTAACAAAAAAATAATATGTTTTAGGAACAATTCAAATATTTCCCAAAAATACCTAAAAATGCTGATGTCTCAAAAACGACAAAACTTTGCATAAGGGTAAATATGGTCAAACAGCTTCCAAATGACCCCAACTATCAGTCATTGAAAACTTCCTATCGATATACCAAACACCCTGATAAAATCAGTCCATACCGGCTGTTTATACCGCAGCTAACTTTTATTCAGTCAGTTCGTGCCATATATCCTTATTCTGGAGGTTCAAGGCGGGTGTATAAAGGGCCAACCGAGTTACCCGACAATATTTTACTACACCATTCATCTCATTCCGGTGGTCTATTATTTGTCGGCGCAGCTATAAATAGTCGCCTTTTAGGTAATATCCGTACGGATTCCAGTCGGACGCGACTGTTCTGAACTGTGCTGACCAACACGGATAACTACTTTTCTCTCGATTTTTGTTCTTGTTGTACCAAATAATAAAATTCCCCGCATACCGAGGGGAGGAATCGTTTTACTTTGTAATCTTACTGACAAAAAAGTCTGTTAGGCTTTTTGTTCAGTCAAATAAAATTGTCGCCTAGTTTGAGTGTTTGTCAATACACAAATTCAAAAAAATTTCCAACATTAAATTTTTTCGATAGTACTTAGTGCAGTGGCTGGGCTTCACTTGATGAAAATGAAATTGTCTTTTGCTAACAATCCGTAGGTACTCATCTAATCGGGAAATTTAAATGATCAATAAATCACAATTTAATATAGGTACCTGATATTCGACTAAAACACTAACAGATTTATGCTATCTAGCTGCATTTACCATTTGACCTGCGATTTCACGTTTTCTGTCCCTTTAAAATCATTCGAACAAACATATATCGCTAACGTATGAAATTCGATATGGCCGTCAGTGTTGGTTAATTTACTGCTGTGTAATTGACCCAATGAACCGATTAGCTTATGAATAAACCCAATTAGGTGTATGTGGTTCAATATGCAGGTAATAAAACGTCCAATATCATTGCATATCATATTATAATGAATAATTTATAGAAGTGCAGATTAGGTATTAGTTGACATTGCCGTGCTTATGTTAGTTATGTTCAGCGGTGCTACCACTTGACACATTATCGAAAGTGCTTAAAAAAATCCTAAAAGTGAAAATTCTTTCTGGTGATGCTTTTATTTCAAAAACTGGATATCAGAAAAAAATCACAAATTTTCTTAGGAAATTTGTCGCACGAGTGATATTCTGATAGAGAATAAATATCACGATACTAGTGGAAATTAACCGGCCAATTCTGTGCACATCTGTAAGCCCATAGACACTGCAAAGCGCATCGATTTCCAAACACCCGATCAGCTATAGGCCTATAGAAATTTAAAGATTTGCTTACAGATGTACACATAATTGATCAATAAATTTTAAACTAATCTGGATTATTTTATTTACACCATATTATAATTCAGTGAACATAAAATAAGTGACTTACTAATCAATTAAGAATAGGTAAAATAATTTAAAACTTTTTAACAAAAATGCATTTAATATAAAATGAACATAGTTTTGATATTAATTGGGAGTATTCTGATTGTGTATCTATATCGTATTCGACGTCAAGTTAAAAGAAACCTGATTTGGCACGACGCTAGTAGTTCATAAACCCCGCTATGGGACCACTTTAAAGGCCATTCGTTTCAGATGGTCTGTGTCCATCAGGGGGGGAAGGGATGACGGAAAAAGTGACGTCAGTGACACCATAGGCTGCTGAAGTAGTCACGTGACCATAAAATTGGAGGGGTGGTTGAAGAAAATTACCTCCACAGAAAATACAGTATGAACTATATACTTCAAAATTCTGAAAATTATTATCAGCTTTATTTTCCACACGTTGGTTAACAACCATGAATTGAACGAAATCACTATCCAATCGAAAAAAAACGAAAATAATACAATCTGAAATGCAACAGGACGATCACAATAGACATTATCAATTAGTTCCTAAATGACTTGAATCCCAAAACAGATTCAATCTTGTTCCTGAAATTAAATTCTTTCGTTCCGAGAGTATATAAATGACGGATTAAAAATAGTACAATTTTATGTCGATTTCTATCTTGGAAGACCTATTTTCACCTGAACAATTCAACCAAGCATGCATTCTACACAGCTGACTTAATTTAAAAAAATGATTATAAACTGGAGGCGTATAGCCTTCGGCAAAGACAACCAACTAAACGAACTATTAGCTGGCACGCCATACTTGAATATTTCAAACGGTTTGGACATCAATAATTCGTTTGGCGTTTTTATGGCTTCTTTTATGTATCACGAAGACAACCCATGCAGGTTTATTTATGTTATGCTAATGGTGTTCAATAATAATAAAGGATATATACTTGAAAATTGAAATCGAAATAATTCCTAACGTGTCTCAAATCTTAACTTCAAAAGTAACTGTTCATTACTATTTCAGATTGAAAATTTCGGACTTATCAGGTACCATGTAACCATGGTCGGATTAAGCTTTCATGGGGCCCGGGGCCAGTAAAGTTTTAGGGGGCCCTTCATAAATTAAGTACAAAAAAATATACAGGGTGTGGACTTTAACCCTTTCGTGGGCCCTGGGAAGCATATTTCCCCCAACTTCAAATTTCGATTTTGCGCACTTTCAATAAAATTTCCAACTCTACAACATAAGCACCATCTAGGAAATAGTTACAAACTTGAAATTTACAGGTTTCTTTTTTCCGACACAAACGGTTAGAAAAATATGTCATTTGACATTTTGATTACCCACATTTGCCGCCAATTTTTGATTGTTTTTGTTCGATATTTTGTGATTTCAAAATTTTTAGCAAGAAAGGTGAGTATATAAGCTTTTTAATTATTAATTTTATTATGAAACAAGTTTATATAGGTTAATATTATGATTTTGTAATCACAAATATATTTTTATTCGTGAAACATGACTTTGAACCGGTGGGAATTATGCTTCCCACCGCCCAGTTCGTGTACCTAACTTGAACTACATATTATACAAAAAAAAGCATGTTGGGGTTTATTTAGGCACTAAATATTTGACTACTTATGTTTGGATCTATTATAATTGAAATTATATTTGTAATTTCCAGATGGATCGTAAAAAATGGGACTTAAATGACCCAGAGCAAGCGATGGACGCTCTAAATTATTTATATAGTTTACCCGAAAATGAGAATGATTCTGAAGCGGAAGCCGATTCTGAAGCTGAGGAAGAGTTGAACGATTTAGATGATAGTCAATTGCCGAGTAGCCCTTGTACCTCGTCCAGTAGTAGAAGCAGCATTTATTCAAATTTGCCAGTTACAGCGGATTATGAAATCCACCAGAATCAAGAAAATGTAGCAGACGATTCATCGAACGATGATAGCAATGAAGATGATCATACCAATGAAAGTGAGGATACCTACCCCCTCTCTAGGAATGGTACATTACATAATTTTTTTTTTTTGCAGATTGTAGTGCTGAATCTACGAAAACCACCGTAGAACTGCAAAATAATGAATGAAATGAATGAAAAAAAAAAAAAAATAAGCCAGCAGTCAAGGACTGGGCCGAAACTTCAGACTATTTTGAAAACAATGTCGAGATGTTTTTTCTTAAAGAGCCTGAATTATCCATTCCAACGGGGATAAGTAAAGAGTTGTCTTATTTCACTGAAATTCTTGATGAGAATTTATTGACTTTGATTGTTCATCAGACCAATTTGTATGCTCAACAAAAACCAGTGAAGAACTGGTCTCCATTATCCATTTCAGAAATAAAGGCCTATATTGGCTGCCTTATTTTGATGGGAATCCACCAACTTCCCAGGCTTGAGAACTATTGGAACACTGATCCTCTTCTGGGGTACAAAGGCGTCTCGGATGTTTTTACATCGAAGAGGTTCAAAAAAGTTACAGAAGCTCTTCATTGCAATGATAATACTCAATGCCCAAACAAAGACAGTCAAGATTATGACAAGCTTTATAAACTTAGACCAGTAATAGATTCCCTAAACAATAGAATTTCTCAGGTTTATAAAAGTTCTTCCTGTTTATCAGTGGATGAGTCCATGATACCTTTCAAAGGCCGGAGTAGCCTCAAGCAATATATGCCCATGAAACCGATAAAAAGAGGCTATAAGGTTTGGTGTCTGGCTGACTCTAGAACAGGCTTTGTAACCAAATTTCAAATATATTCAGGAAGAGAAAAAACCCCTTCTCAACATTCGCTTGGTGAACGAGTGGTGCTAAACCTTACTGAAAATCTGGAAGGTCGAAATTGCCTCGTAGCTTTTGATAATTTTTTTACATCAGTTCTTTTGATGGAAAGACTACTAGAAAAAAAAATTTACTCAGTGGGAACCGTTAGAAAGGACAGAGCTAATCTTCCAGATATGATGAGAAAAAATGACAAACTTCAACGTGGGGAATTTATGTTCAAAATATCAGGGAGTTTGGCTGCTGTAAAATGCTAGGATAGCAAACCCGTTACCATATTGACAACAGCTGTTTCTCCAAGAGAAGTAACTAGAGTGGATAGAAAGAATAAGGACGGGAGTAAAGTCAAAGTTTCTTGTCCAAAAGTAATAGATTTGTATAATAAATACATGGGAGGTGTTGATAAGTTTGATCAGAAAAAGGAACGGTATGCTATTGGGAGGAGGTCCGTAAAGTGGTGGCATCGAATTTTTTATTTTCTGATTGATTTATCTATCGTCAACAACTATATTTTGTACCAGATTTCTCGGCGAAATCATACCGATCAACTAGCGTACAGGGTATCTCTAGCGCGGCAGCTCATCAACGGATTTAGCTCCAGAAAGAGAAGGCAGACTTCAGTGCTATTTTTGGCTAATAAGAAACAAGTACCTCCAGAGATACGATTGAGTAATCTGGGAACGCATTTCCCAGAAAAAGGTACTTATAGAAGATGTAGAGTTTGCAGCACAAAAGTAAACGAAAAGAGAACGATTTTCACATGTACCCAATGCAAGGTACCTGTATGTGTTCCTATATGCTTTAGAAAGTTGCATCAAAAGTCCCAACTCGATTAGACATTTTTAAAAATATTTTGTGTCCACTTTTCCTATCCAACAAAAGTAATGGAATGTGTTTTATTTATAAAAATAATAAGTCTAACGTGGGCGGTGGGAAGAATAATTCCCACCAATTGTTTTATTATAAACAATAAAAATTTGAATATCAACAAATATGCTTTTTTTTTTCAGACTATCTATGCTACCCATATCCCAAAATATAGGTTACATAATTTCATTTCCCTTTATGTGCCCGCGAAAGGGTTAACTGGAACTAATTCGCTAGAGCCTTCGGATAAAATATGTCGACAAAACGCAAAAACACGTTGATTAAGATTTTTTGCTTAAGATTTTTTCACATTAACTTTTTTATACAGGGTGTTCCAAGAACAGCTGTACGGTTATCAACTTTATTTTTTAAATGGTAACCCCTGTATGCTATGACATTTCTAAATTTTGCGGAAAATTCTAGATATATTCACAATGTCATATGTCAAATTTTATCTCTGGTTAAATTCAAAGGTGGTGTCAGATGATAGTTTATAAACAACTAAGATAAGAATGTGAAATCGGTTTTGTTGTAAAATTAACCGGTTAGGTTTTACAGCCTGTCAAAGTTGCGAAAAAGTTAATTTTCAACTGTCAATAATTCCAAAACAGTTGAAGATAGGTATATGACATTGTAAATGGAATATGACTAGAATTTTCCGCAGAATCCAGAAATGTCCTAATATACAGGGACTACCATTTAAAATAATAAAGTTGATAACCGTACAACTGTTCTTGGAACACCCTGTATAAAAAAATTAATGCGAAAAAATCTTCAGCAAAAAATCCTAATCGACGTGTTTTTGCGTTTTGTCCACATATTTTATCCGAAGGCTCTAGCGAATTAGTTCCAGTTAAAGTCCCCACTCTGTATATAAAAAAAAATATATATTCCTGATCTAACAGTCTGACACTGCTATACCTATTATCTATTCACAATCCGATGTCCAAAGGTAAAGGTAAAATTTATCACCTTTCAGTGCTATTTGATAGGGAAAGGTGATAAATTTACCTTTACCTATGGACTACGGATTGTGAATAGGATATACCTACATGTTTTACAAAATTATGTCAGAATATATTTTTTCTACTAGATACCAATCAAATATATGTAAAAAAATAAATTCAGACAAATTCTTTACGCACTAGTGCGTAAAGTATTGTATTTTCACTTTATTACGCACTAGTGCGTGAAGTAATTTAGCAGAAAAATAGTAATTTAACAGGTCGAAATCTGTCAATTGCATTACTTTACGCACTAGTGCGTGAAGATGAGAAGTTCTACGTCTTCTGAATAGTGCGTAAAGTGAGTACTTTACACACACCTTTTTTCACTCATGTGAATGTCAACATTCACATTCATGAAAAAAGGTTCACTTTACACACTTGTTGCATAAATAACAAAATAATTACCTATTTTTCATAGGTAACTTAAGTTTACCTAACAAATTCTTGTATGACATCAGTAAATTCTAATTCCTTCAGAATGTCTCTTTTTATGCACATTAAGGGTGCGATTATGTTGAAGCTGCGATAAACGATAAAAGCAACGATACTAATGTAAAGTATCATTAGTATCTTTGCTTTTATCGTTTATCACAGCTCCAACATAAACACGGCCTAATGAAGACTGGCGTTCCTTTCCTTCTGCATTGTTTTATATTTATTTTTAATTTAATAAATTTTGCGAAACATGACGCGAAAGACTAGTGCATTTGATATTTATTGTTTGCGCACGGGCCCTTGACCAGCATAAGCCTCAATTTCGAAAGTGAGCCCCCTCCGGGGCCCTACTGGACCGCGGGGCCCGGGGCTGCAGCCCCGTTATCCCCCCTCTTAATCCTGGCATGCATGTAACGTAAAAATTGATATTTAAATTAAATCAATCGATTAGCGAAATCAGAATTAAGAAATATATTCGACTCGACATGGGCCAGTTCGGTTAATTAACATACGCAAAACATATTTCCCGATTACGCCGTCCGGTCAAGCGGGCATCCAAAATTCTACATCAACTCAATCCAAGTTTCCAAATTAATTTATATTACGTGAATTATTGGCATGGAGCCATTTAAAACTCATCAACTCCAGCCACAAGTTATATTAAATTTTGGATTGATGTTGCGGTGAAAATATTTCAATTTTGAAAACAGCATGCCCGGACTATTTTGCTGCATTTTAATATTAAAATTCTCGGGGTTTTATGTGAGGACTTTTGAATTTTCTATATATGTGTATCATTAATGGTAATCAAATAACAAGTGGTGCTTCGTAGTTGGAAACTTTTATCGAAACTGAATTTAGCTTTTCCAGTAGTAGTGTAGTTATTTGGGAAGTTCGTGACTCGGCAATTTTAAGCGACATTTTCAGTTTACCCTTCTATTTTGCACTCCCTAATTGGTGGCATATGGGACTTCGCAACTTTACGACTGCGATTTTATTGTTACGGGATGATTTTTCCTGGGTTAAAATGAAAGGAAATAAGCATATTCGCCTCAATGAATAGCATACCTTCGTCAAGCCACTGTTGTCTTTTCAATAGTTGTGGCCAAACTTTTCATCAAACTTTTAATTTTTCCCAGAATCATTAAGTTAGAGGTTTATTAATGGAATTGATTTTCTGTTAGTAGGGTTAAAATAAATAGACAATTAATTTATTAATAAAACAAAATCACAATATTTACACTAGAACAGCTGATTGTCTGATCGGATTAGATTGACTAGAGCGCTGTCACTCCAAATAGAGTCAATGACCGGTACTAACTTAATTTGAATAAGTACCATGCCCCAACTACCATCAAAATCCCCAGTACCTTCCACCTTGGAGTTTTGACAGAACCTTTTTTAAAGGACATTGCAGGGACAATCAGGGGTCATTCAGGTCGAGGACTTTCCACGATTAAGTGTTCGGGAAAACTCCTCAGGCACATTTTGCCGATTTCTGAGTTGCCAAGTTTCGCTCATAGATCTAGGGTGGCTAATCCGCTATTTTAGCACCCAATCGCCTTGTGCAGATTTTTTTTGTGAGTCGAAAAATAGCAACGTGGTCAATTGTTTGTTCCTAAAGGCCAAAAGTGATTTTGGTAAGTGGTTTTTCTTATTAGTCTTCTCTGTGTTTCTCTATTGCCTGTGTAAAAGCATAATTTTCTGTTAATAATATGGTTGAATTCCGAATATTGGACATACCTACCTATTGCTCTACTACCCTGTCTCATAACGTCCATTTGTTTCAGGCCTTTATTCATTACCTTTAATCTTCAGTCTTAGACGTTACGTTTAATCGTCACCTTTTATTCGTTACTCTTAGTCCTTAACTTGAGTAAAGAGT